ACCTCTTGCCTGCTTGAAGCAGTTTCTGGTATTAGTAGGTCCTGGAGAGCCTTTTCCTTTCCCGCTAGCCTAAAGGTTCACCTTTGCATGAGTAGCTCAGCCCATGCACAGCCATTACAACAGGACCCATTCAGGGCCCCAGCCTGACTGCCTGTTCCCTATTCAGGCTATTGTCAGGAGAACAATGCATTTGTGGAATGCTGCTGCAGGGAATTTCTTCCTTAATGTATGCCATTTCCCCACCCCCCAGGGACATGCAAGAGTGTGGCAAGAGCACTGCAAGGGGACTGTATTTGGTTTCTTCAACAGGAATCTCATACACAAAGTGGCAGTATCATACTAGGATTTGAGGTCATTTCCTGACATAGATCCTAGGTTCAATGTTTTTCCCCCCAGTAGCTATCCTGAGGTTGCTGCTAATCCCTTACTTCCCATGATAACACACAGGCAGACTGGAGGGGTGTATGTGTCAGAACTTCCTCAACATGTCTGTAACTCTCCCACAGCTCCCCCCCCACACACACACACAGAAATTCCTGCGTACAGGCCTGTAAGGCATCCAAGTGTAGAAGTGAATCATCCAGGACAAAACAGGGATAGTGATCTGAAGTCTTGGTCAGGATGGAAAGTTAAATACAAAATTTGTGCACTAAAATTGTTGCATACCTTATTAAAAATGTCGCAGCATGCCACTGTTTGACAAAACACAAAAATCTCTTCCCCGTGAGGTGCATCAGCATTCACTGCGCATGCCACTGTTTGACAAAACACAAAAATCTCTTCCCTGTGAGGTGCATCAGCATTCACTGCCTTGCCTCTTGGAATATCACACTAGTTTTCGAGTGTGGACAAAGGCCTGAATTGCTGAAGCAAGAACCTCATCATGGGGGCAGGGAGAACCACAATTTTTTTAATCCCTCCCAAACTCCTCTTTCTCCGTCAAATACATTTTTAAAAAATTCCCTTTCCCAGGTTACCTTTAAATCTCACACCACAATTCTGCAGTAACACAAGGATCATTTCACACACGGCTGAAATGTAAACACCTCTGCAACAGAGTAAGGCAGCAGCTGAATACTACCCAGCAGTTCAGAGGAGCAAGGGAAGTGAGGAAAAACAAAAGTGAAACTGCAAGAATGGAATGAAACCAGCATAACAGAATTAACACTCCTACACTCAGGATTATTGTCTCCTAGTTTTATGACAAGAGGAATCTTTAACAAGAGGCAGGAGTCGCTTCTACAGCTCATCAGAAAGGTAGAAACCTCAAGCAGAATAGCCAACATATTCCATAATTCCCGAGTCACAGAACTGTGCTTCAGAACATGTCTTCATTTAAAAAAAAAAAAAAAAAAAGGGAGTCTGATCTCTCTGTCTGCAAAGAAAATCCTGAAAAGTTTAATGTAGTATATAAGTGATGAAGTGATGTTTTCCTAAGCCCGCAAAGAGCCTGAATCACTGTTCTGAATCATGTTCATGTATCAAACCCCTCTCCAGCCAGTTGGCTCATTATTACACACAGTTCTAAGGCTCCAGCATTAAGTACATATTCTATAAATTACCAGAAAATTACCACATATTTTATGCTTAGATACAGAGAAGGAAGAGATTGCCCATCACACTTACACACGTGTGGTATAGCAGCTTGCTCCAGAAGTCTATTGAGTACAGATATTAGAAATGCCACCCAAATCTCAGGCTTTTCTGTACTCAGGCTTTTCTGTAACATTGCAGCCATATATATATATATATATATATACACACACACACACACACACACACACACCCCATGGAGATTTAGAGGACAAACCCATCCAGGCCACTGAGACTCAACTAGAGTCACTGGAGAAACTCACCTTCTTTAGGATGTTTTTCTCTTTATGTCACTGTCACATCTATGTCAAGTCTGAGTTAATGCTTTCCAGGACATAATATCTGTCTAGATTAAGATGGTACACACTGAACATCCCTACCCTTACCTGAAGTTAAGCATGAAAGGGGAAAAGAGAGAGTCCTCTGGTTGATGGAACACTCACCCCGTTCACCTCTGCCTCACCTATGGAGAAGCTAGGAGTATTCACCCTTCAGACAGGTAGATTTGTGGGGATTCAGGGGCAGCAAGAAATTATGTGCTAGGCTGACCTCAAGTGCAACAACCTGGCCAGCAGGAGCATAAACCAGCTTCCACACCACAGAGAAAACCAGCAGCAAAAAGATAAGCACCAGGCACCTGTTGACACCAGACCCACCTATCAGAGACTGTCCAGTGATAGCAGCAGCAGCAGCCATCTCTTGGCTGGTCTCCAGGTAGCTTGTGGCAATTTCACACACTCAATTCAGCAGGGATCCTTTCTGGGCTGGTGCAATAAATGACATACCTGAGAAAATTTAGGCTGGTGACAGGCCATATCTGAGCAGACCTTGCCAAAGCCCAAGACCACTAGAGATTTTTGCTAGTGTAAAAATGTTAGTCATGGGTGTAAATTTGTGACATTGCTGTAGCCAAAGCCATAGTTTGCCACAGTTATACCAGCACAAAAGGGCTTTTAGCGCTGTAGGCTTTTTGCTTGCTGAACCAGTGAACCAGCAAAAGTGCATTTTTTGCCATTTAAGTTGCATCTATGCTTTTGCCAGTATAATTTCACCAGCAATCAGTCCTAGTACAGACCTGGCCTAAATGAGATCTCTGAGCACACCAGCACTAACCTCCAACTCCACCATGGCTTTAAGCAAGAAAGCCTTCAGTGCTCTCCCTCTCTGCTGTCTGGAGCTCAGGAAGCAGCGTTCCCGGCTTGCCTTGGGCAAATAACTAATAGTAAACAGCCACTTCGCAGAGCAGGAGAAGGACTATTCAGGACAGGCACCATCTTTCAGCAAGGCATTGCTAGAGAAGGCACTCAAGGGATGAGAGACAATGACAGCAGCAGCTTGGAGGAGGGAGAACCACTTCAATGCAAACCTGGCAGGGGATCACTTCACTAAACCATTAGCCTTGCTGGGAAGTTTGCAACTTCCAAAGCCCAGGGTTTTATGAAATACTGCTCTGGGGTAAACTGCACCAACTGAGTGCTTAGCTTACTTGCACTTTAGTGAAGCTGGAAGTGCCCAAGACAAAGACAGATGGGAGTTTTCAAAAGCACAGAAAGTTCAGGAAAAGATTACACTGCAAAGGCCACATCTTCACAACAAGTCTCCATGCAATGTGCTGTGCAACAAATGTTATACACCTGCTGATGCAGTGGTGTACACTGATACCTCTTGACTCTGGCCGGAGATAGACAGGAACATAGGATGAGAAGAGGCCTCTTGGAGAAGAGGCCTCTTATCGAGCCCAGTCCTGTTATCACAGGTAACCCCATCATATAATCCAGAGGTGGGCAAAATGCAGTCTGCCCTGAGTTGGTACTCATGCTCTCAAGTCCCTCCAGGCAGCATTACAGCTAAGCTAAAGCATTATTCCATCAACCTAGCACTGTCTGTACCAGGGATTAGATCAGTTTAACTGCGTCACTCAGGAGTGTTAGTTTTTTACACTTCTGAGACACAGCTATGCAGATGTAACTTTTCAGTCTAGAACAACCCATAGGGAGACATAGGCCCTGCCTTGGAGAGGTTTGCAATCTATAGATAAAGGGTGGGAAGAGAGGCACAAAGGGGCAGTGACTTGTCCAACATCAACCAGCGCTAGGTCAGCATTAGAGCCAGATCTCCAGTCCCTAGGCCAGTGTTCTGCTAACTAGACCCCTATCAAGGGGAATTTTACCCTATGCTCAGGAGATTCTGGCTTCTAACTTGGCTGGTAGGTTAATTCCTCTGCAACACTAGCTTTGACTGTGATAACTGTGAAGAGCAGCCATGTCTTCCCTTTTTACTACACATATGCTCTTGATGCCCAAAGGAGGCAGCACAGACTACTAGCACCAAGGCTGGCTCCAGCCTCCCATACTGCACTGTGTCTGTGGCAGAACCCCAGGGACATGAGAGAGAGAAGATTCTGCCTTCCACTTTCTATTACTGACATTTCTGAGGAGAAGGGATTTTATTTTCCATATGAAGCCCAAGGTTTATTTGGGTGGCCTGAATTTACTGCTAGCCTGTGGAGGAGGAGAGGGGGAGGGAGAGGCAGGACTGATCCAAACACCTTGCCCCCTGCAGCTCACATCTGCCTCCAATCTAACCAGGGTTAGATTGGAGGTGCCCAAAGCAGGTGAGTAGTTTAAAAAGAGTGCAGTACCTGATTCTGGGACACAAGAGAGTCTGCATACTCCATAAAGACACCATAATAGAGGCCCAACTTAAATGTATACCCCAAATTAAAAAACATAGCAATAAACCTAAAAAAGAGACCCCGTGGCTTAACCACCATGTAAAAGAAGCAGTGAGGGTCAAAAAGGCATATTTTAAGAAGTGAAAGTCCAATCCTAGTGAGATAAATAGAAAGGAACATAAACATTGTCAAATCAAGTGTAAAAATGTAATAAGAAAAGCAAAAAAGGACTTTGAGGAACAGCTAGCCAAAAACTCAAAAAGAAATAACAAAATGTTTTTTAAGTACATTAGAAGCAGGAAGCCTGCTAAAAAACCTGTGGGTCCCCTAGACAATCGAGATATAAAAGGAGCAATCAAAGATGATAAAGCCATTGCAGAGAAACAAAATGACTTCTTTGCTTCAGTCTTCATGGCTAAGGACATTAGGGAGATTGCCAAATCTGCACCGTCCTTTGTGGGTGATGAATCTGAGGAACTGTCCCGGATTGAAGTGTCATTAGAGGAGGTTTTGGAACAAATAGAAAAACTTAATGTTAACAAATCTCCGGGACCGGATGGCATTCATCCAAGGGTTCTAAAAAAACTCAAATGGAAAATTGCTGAGCTATTATCTGTGGTTTGTAACCTATCCTTTAAATCAGCTTCCGTACCTAATGATTTAAAAAGGGCTCTAGAGGCAATCCTGGCAATTACAGACCGGTAAGTCTAACTTCAGTACCGGGCAAATTAGTCGAAACAATAGAAAAGAATAAAATTGTGAGGCACGTAGAAGAACATAATTTGTTGGACAAAAGTCAACATGGTTGAAATCATGTCTTATACTAATCTATTAGAGTTCTTTGAAGGGGTTAACAAACATGCAGAC